TTTTTCTTGTTTGCTTCCAGGATATTTTTAGAGGGCAGATCTCTCTCTGGGCATGATCTGCCTCACAGAGGCTGAGCTTTCATGACCGACTCATCCACATATGCAGATCACCTGCAGGCCCAGGGAGAGATGCAGACTGTTTTTAAGCACTTTTCAAGCACCCTTGGAGCCACAACTGATTAGTGAGTCATGCAAAGACGTCATTGTGAATATATTTCTTGCATTTCTGCTTCATGAAATGCAAAAGCACAAAAGAAAACCATGAGTTCAAACACGTGAATTGGGTCCAGGCCCCCATTTCTTCCAGCACCTCTGCATTTCTAGTTTCTGAAAGGATCAACTTCTCTCCTAATGACAAAAGACTGGCTGCACCAAGTTTGAGCAGAGGTCCACCTTGCCCAACACCCCCCCCAAGATACCAACCAACAACAGACACCTTTGGAAGAATGTAAAGACAAGGCAAGGATATTACGATAGACCCCAGAACACTCCATCATCTTCCAAGCCATTTGTGATTTGGGGATTTCCTGAACTCAAAGGCGTGTCTGTATATTTAGAAGACCTTCCATGCATTTGTCCAATCATTTTGGAGCCTATGCAGATTTTAGCAACGTCCTGGGGCAAAGATTTCACAGCTTAGATAAGCTCCATGACAAAAAGACCTTATTTGTTCTGAGCCTCCTACCTTGCAAGTTATTTGACTTTGTCTACCACAAAACCTCATCAGACCAACCCTTGAAAAAGAAAGATGATCTGAGTTTTTTCAGTTATGATTTGAAACAAGTGACCTTGCTTACAAGACCAGAGACCCAACAGTCCAAAGAAATTACTCTGATGGACAATCCCTTTTCCCCCCCAAAAAAAACACAGAACAACATGTTCCCACAGGTTGAAGTAGAAAAGGAGGAAGCTGGGATACAAGCTCCTCTGAGGCATCCTCATACATGTTGAACTAGACGGAGGACTAGCTATGCCTGAGGTGGTAGGTGCAAGATACCTTCCACCTCTCTCTCTTTCAGGTTTCAGTGAGGGTGGTAGCCTGAATCTAGAGAGGCTGTTGAAATACTTCCTTGTGCAGTCTAAGGATCTCCAACACCATCCAACTTAAGCCAAGACACTTGGCTACACACACTGTGAATGCAATTCTTTCCAGGACTTCGGTCCTACAGTTGAAAAAATAATCTCCTTTAGAAAGCATGTCCGTGGCCTTAGCTTGAATCTCAAAGAGACTTGAGTTTTGGAGCCAGAACTGTTTCCTAGAGATCCCACTATGTTCAAAGCCCTAGCAGCTGCACCTGACAAACCATAGCCAGCTTGAGTGCACTTCTCAGTCTCTCTCACTGTACTAAAAAAACAAAACAAAACAAAAAAAACAACCACCTTTGTGTTTTCTTCAGGAAAACAGCAGCCCATATTTTTCATTCACAGTTTTGGAAGAGAAAAAAAATAAAGTGATCCTTCTTTGAAGCAGAGAAACTCACACTGTATTTGGGATCCTCTTTGAAGCTTCACCTTTTGTGCCTGTTAAAACCAAGTATTTTGATATGAAGAACTGGGGTGCCAGCCTCTCCCTTTCTTCCTTTATCCCTAAGTAATACTCATGGATTTCCTCCTCACACATTTTCATTTTTCTTCTGCCACTTCCATTTTACAAAGCTGAGAGAAGGTTTTGGATGCAGCAAGGAAAGACAACAAAACAAAAATAGGAGTAAGCGGAAATGCAAAAATGGAAAAATCAGACTTGGGAATTTTATTTTATGAAATGGGGAACCATTTCATCTCCAGCCCAAGCAAACTTCCATTTTTTTCCTACTGATGGACACACGAGGTATGTTGCTTCTGACCCAAGATGCACCAACGCTAACTACCTTGGTAGACTTGTGAACTGCAGGTCACTGATTTGGGCCAGAGAGAACATTATGATAATCTAATTTGACCTCGTCCGTACTGCAGGCCATAGCACTTCCTCTCGTAATTCCTACAGCATGTGCATGCTCTCTGTCTGGACTAAAACGTATTTTTCAAAATACATCTACCCTAATTTAAAGGCTTTAAGTGGTGCCAAATCTAACACATGCTTAGGCTTGCGGCCTGAGGGTTACCTAGAAGATAACCTTCACGCAAAACCCATTCAGCAGTCTGTACTCCCTTGTCCTTAGAAGCAGAGGATGATCTCTCCCTGAAGGTGAGATACAAACGGAGCTTGCTACTGGCTTCTCAAAGATTGACTAAAAATCACCCCCAGGAACCTGGTACCTTGATCTTGAGGAACCAGGACAGGATGACTGCATGCTCCCCGCTCTCTCCTCTCTAGATCCTAAGTGTTCCCATACCTCCCTGGACAGGCAGGAGGAAAGAGGAACAATTTTTCTCCTGCCAGATCCTAGAAAACTGTGGGGCTCCTTGGAAGAAGAGGTAACATAGACAAAGCCATTTCCTCAGAGAGTGAGTCCTCCAAAGAAATGCTTCAAAAAGGCATCCTTAACATTTCCTTCTCAGACAGTCCCAATCCAATTGGCCCAAATGACTTAGAAAATATTTTCTCAGACAGGCTTTCCAAGATGAGGATAACACGACAAGCTTTACCACCTCTCACTTAAAGGTGCCACAAATCGAGGAAATGAAGACCACAGAGTGAGATGCCGAGTACCTCTAAAGAAGGGATCCTAGGAGACCTCTGAAAGCTAGGAGGCCCCAGAGTATCATAAGCAAACACCAAAAGAGCCTGTGTATCAAAATCATGTTCTCCATGAGTCACATCTGAAATTGAAGGCAATGGGCTTTTCTTAGCCCTGGAAACCACAGAGCAGTGCATTCAGAGCGCAGAACCCCAGAGCTGATGGCCACGAGGCTCTCCTCTGAAACACGCTTTCCCACTGATCCTGTCTGTCAGCCACACAGAGATACCAACTGGAGAGAATTTCTCAGGAAACAGTTCTCCTGGCCTTTGGTGAATTATTTGAGGCTTAGCCTGGAAGATGGTTACAGGCCAGGAGAGATGCATTATACAAGAGCTTTGAGGAGTCTCTCCTCAGCTGAAATGGCCAGGTGAGTCAGAAAACTGCCCCAAAAATGGAGAGTCAATCTGACCAGCCCTGACCTCTCCCCACAGAAACTCCAGAGCCAAGAGGCCAGCTGCATCGGCCTCATGCAGATTTTGAGCACCGGATGTTGTCCAGGATGCTGGTTCTCTGGAAATGAATCGCACTGAGCTATGCAGAACTCTCCCTTCTGCCCAGTCCCAGGAAAACAATCTGACACAACCAGTTCTTGCCAGTCGCCTGACGTCAGGACCCCTTTCAGCACATGACCATTAAACAAGAGGAACACAACAGCGTAACGCCCCAAAAGAACTGGAAAGTTCTTCTCAAACTAGAGCAACCATAACTGCTTGTAAACAAGAGTGCTACATGACATGCTTCTGCTTCAAATTAACAGAGGTACAGTTAAGGTGAAAAGGGGATTACACCCAAGACATTTTGTTTTCCTATCAGACGCATCCATCAGCAGCGCAGAAGCACATGCCAGTCAAACTAACAACCTTCAGACCACACAGACACACGGACAACACCACCTTTACTGGTGACACCTTCAGTGACACCATGTAAAAACTCTTGAAAACACAACAGAGTTTGCTTATTTCTAATAGAAAATAAAACCACACAGAGCTAATGACTAGCAAACATGGAGATATCTGACCACTTTTGCTATTGCCACGTTCTCTTAGGATTGAATAGAAATATAAAGGAGTCCCACTTTGCAGTCATGATAGCATCCCAGGACATTCAGATTTGACTTCAGAAGCTGAACAAAGGTACTGAGCAAACACTTGTTCCAAACTCTGCCCAAAAGTTCCAACAATATCACAAAACTGGTTACAAAACTCCCCTTCCTTTCACCAATTGATGTGCCTTAACATAACATTACCCCTTTGCAGGACCTTTCAGAAGGAAATTAATACCAAAGCCTTCATCCCTCACACTCTACAGTTCCCGTGGTACTTTCCTCCACATCCACAATCCTATCAGCAACATCGTGGCCAGATTACCACGCAGCAAACTGTGTTCTGCCCCGCTAGCCAGGCAGGAAGGTCCCTACAGCTACAGAATCCAACACTTCCTGCCTCAAACAGCAAGCCCATGAACACCACCAAACAACAGTGCAACAGTCACAGTGCCCTGCCCCAGAGGTGACCACATTCAGCGTTTGGGTACGATGATCCCCATCAGTTCCAAATCCCATTAAAAATCTTGAGATCCTTCAGTCTAATACTCCTGAGATTGCTCCTGCGGATGCTCACAACCTCCTGACGCAGCTGAAAGGCCAAGACCGAGTCCCCTTCTATCCTCCAATTAGGTCCCGACTCACAATCTGCACACCTGGCTGTCACGGACCACGGCACAAGTGACTTCCATCCACCCTTCCCTGAGCCACCAGCTGGCACAGAAGAGCCAGACCAACACAAGGGACAGCCGTAGTGCCAGATTTTCTTCAAACATCCAAAAATAACATCACCACTTGCCCAAGACTCAGCAGGAGAAGTTTCAGGACCAAAAGGCTTATTTTTAATAAAGGATTACCAAAATATCAATTACAAGGCTTTGAGTTAGAACCAGGCCAAAATCACAGGTTTGATGCTGCAGCCACTCTGTTAGGAGTGTCTACAAAACTTCCTCCGGTGGTAGAACAAACTGCAAATCTGCGGGCCACAGGAGGCCTCTGGATAGGGAAAAACTGGAAAACCATTTCCCCTAGCCCAGCTCCTACTGACTCCAGGAACAAACACAAACTCTTTGTTTCAGATCGTTACAGGGCAGGAGTCACTGGCTGTAGCCCCTACAAAGACATTACAGCCAGCCAGCATCTGTAACTGACCTTGAATCTACTTAACCCCACGCAGAAGACTCGCAAGCTCCTAATCCCGCCTCCACAGAAGTTCAGAAAACTCCTTTTTGCCCCAGAAGCAACAGCTTTGATCCAACACCACTCAAGAGACTTACCTTACCAAACTGCTCGAAATATTGTTTCACATCCTCCACAGTAGTGTTCACAGACAGACCACCCACAAATATCTTCTTCGTTCGGGTCACCATCTGGAAAAGGGAAGGACAGGAATTCACCGAATAAACCCAGAGCGAGCAGAGAACAAGACTCAAAAGGCCACTAACTCCCCTCTGCTGCTGGGAAGCGCCTGCCCCATTGCTGCAGCCGAGCTTCCACCTCCTCGAAGCCCTCTGGCCCAACACAGCTGGCAGATCCGTCCCACGCCGGACCCCAGTTCATGCTCTCGCCCTTGCGCCACCCCATCATGCTTGCCAGCACCCAACCACCACCTCCTCCTCGGACAGCACATTACCAGCCTCTCCCCTTGCTAACCTGCTGCCTTTCCCTCGGCAACCTTCACACCACCCCGAAAGCGTGGGGCAGGACTGTCCCTTCCCCAGCCCTCCAGCTCCTCTCGCAGCCATACCACTTTGCACAGCCAGCCTCCTCCAGGCTTCCCCAGAGATGACTGCTCTGCTTCCCAGAACGGAAAGACAGGCAGGAGGCCTGCCAGCGCAGGTAGGCTCGCCAGGCTTCACCCTCCTAGTTCGCAAATTGCAAAGCATCTGGTCTTGCATGGAATAAGCCTCATTTCGCACCCATTCCCCAGTCACTTAAAAGGACCCCAGTCAACTCCCAGTTAAATCTCTTTTGCCTTCGCAAGACGGCAAAGAGAGGATCCCTCTGCCACTTGTCACTCGTGCAGCTGGAACAAGGAAGAAAACTAACTACCCTGAGAGGGGCCATTGCTGCCAGGCTGAGGCACACCGACATCCTTTGAACCGGCTCTCCAGCTGCATCCTCCCCTTAGCTGCTTGGCTACACCCCTGCTCTCAGAGGAACACATGGTCCTAATTACCCCAAGGAGCATAGGGCTAATCCGCAGCAATTCCCTGGCTTGGAGAGCAGCCCGTTCTAACACTAAAGCACCTTCTGTCACCAAACTGCTTAATGGAATTAACCCAATTCCTACCATGTGCTTCCTGGCTCCAGTTACTTGGGATACCTGCTCACCAATTGTTCTCAGTGCCTGATCCCCCTTACTTCCCTCCTGGCACCAGTCCCCTCTTCCCTCTCTGCTTCTTGACACTGCTTCTCCCCAGCTCTTTCTCCTGCGACAGTACTTGGAATAGAGACTCTAAACTTTAAAACTCCCATCCAAGAGCAAAGTTAAAGGGTGACCCCAAAGTCTAAAGACAGTCTCCAGCCTGCTGCTGGTTCCTCAGTTAAAAGTTTCTAGCTGCACGCCTGGAAAAAGTTCCTGCAACTGCGCATTTCGATGCCAAAGCCTCTCGTAGATAAGGTCCAACACCTGCCTTTTCCAGTGCTGAAGCACACAAGGGCATTTCACAAAATGAAATCCTTCTCCCCCTCCCTGCCATTCCTACACCTATTCGTACACACACCTGTGCATACACACGACCCTCTTTCCACGTGTATCACGTTGCAGCATGGAGCTGTTCTGCATCTCCTAAGGCCTGAAACTTCCAGACACTGGCTGTAACCTCGGATGGACTAAGTTCACCCTGGGCAGCATTTATTTCACCAGCTCTAACCAGCGCATCCTAAAGTACAACCGAGGGACCTTCTGGTTCCTCCAGCGCCACGCAAACCCCCAGCGCTGCACTGCAAGCCCGACAGGAACGCACCGCGGTGCAGCACAGCAGCTCCTGCTCCAGGTGAGTCCTGAGCAAACCCCAGGGAGCGACTCCGTTGTATGCACTGGCAACATTGCACGGAGGGACAAGATTCACCGCCACGAATTTCGCCCTTTGGGGTGGCAAGGGCTCCCCGCAGTGCTTACCTTGGGCTGTGCTCGGCGGGGGAACGCTACCTTCGGGTCAATCTGAAAGAGATGTGGGGAAGAAGAGATGAACACGCTTTTGCTGCCTATTTACAGACGCAGGGTTTCCTCCATGCGCACAGCTGTCTCTGCCCACGTGGCACCTTGCTAAAAACCCAAAGAATCTACCTGAGGTGCATAAAATGAAGCTGACTGCAGACATCTTTCCCTCTCAGTAAGGTGTAATCCAGGGAGACTACAAGTCCCAGCATGCAGTGGTCCGGCTCCAGCTGAGCGCTGGCCAGACGCACCCGAGAACCCATCACATGCTGGGATTAACAGGCTGGGCTGCACCCTCCCACTCAGCCTGCCCCTGGGTGCCCTGCATCACCGGCCTCATATTAAAAGTGCTTTCTTTTGCCTTTTTCCTCTCCCCTTCCACTCTACCTACAAATACAGAGCTCACCCGGGTAGTAACAGGGCAGAAAAGAGGCAGCGCACAAAAAGCCAAACACTTCATCCCACAAAACACAGGGTAAAGAAATAAAAGAGCACACAGGACGGCACAAATTAAACCGAGGAGTCCAAAGCCCCACAGGCTGCAGAGGCTGTGGCTGCAGGGCAAGCGTGCTGCCCCTCTCCCCAGGCTGCGCTGCACACAATGACGCGATGCCTCCCCTCCGCAGGCTGAGCCCTCCATTGTGCCTGTTCAGCTTCTCTATAAACCTGCTGCCGGCCGGAGCTGCCGGTCCCCGTGCCGCCATCCAGGTGCCGCACGTTCTGCTGGGCTCAGCACGGATGAGCGTGTGCCTGCATTGGCCTCACACTACCACAAAAGCCAGGACAACACTAATGCAGCTGCAAGCCAAACACCCACGAAGCCTTCTCTCCTCAGCCACCATCTCTCTCTTTATAGCCTATTTTTACAGCAACTCCTGTAAAGTTACATCACATCGGGGATGATCCAGACCTACAAATCAGCTTACAAAGACCTGTGGTAAAGGCAGGTCTGGCTCATCCCCGCACTTGGACAGGCTGCAGCTGGGAGGGCAGCCTCGAGCGTTGTCCCATCAGCCCGGCAGCTCAAACAGCCCAAAAGGAAGCTGTGTTTCTCCAGCTCCTCTCGCTGCTTTGTTCAGCTTCCCAGCCTGGCCACCCTCCCATCCCGCATCCTTTCACTTGTCACACAGCCCCGGAGCTTGGCCTCCCTGCGCCCTTCCACCAGCTTCTTTCCCTGCCTTCCCCACCTCCATCCTGACTCACAGCCTACAACATAAATAAACTCAGCACGCAAGTAAACAGAGGCAAAAGTGAAGAGCACAAATAAACTCAAAAATAAACCTCCCTCCCCAAGCTCCAAGCGCCAGCAGATTAGCATACCCTCCGGTGCCTCCCTGGGGCATCTGAACCATCCCTCCCCTCCTTGTGCGCACACACACACACACACACACACACACCCCCACCACAGCTTCCTGGCTAGTGCAGACACCCACAGCGAATTCTGAGGACAGGGGACGGCAGGAGACCAGGAGGTTGATGGCAGATAATAAGCAAAAACAATAATCTACTGTCTTTTACTTCTCAGCCAGTGTCATTCAGCTCCTGCCAAGAAGATGCTTTCATACTCAGCAATGCTAAGCTCAGCCTCATTTTCTCATTACCCTGAGTGTGATCAACTGGGCAGAGATAACGTGTCCTCCTGGCTGGAGGGAGCAGGCAGTCATTTCACAAATTCTTCTGCACAACCAGCTATTGTTGCAGGTAGAGGGAGGCCAGGGCGACCGACTGCAGGGGCAGCCCTGGGAACACGCGGAGGGGAGCAAGTTCAGTGCCGGACTCAAGTTACTCGCACTGGACTGCTCTTCGGTGGCTGGAGTCTTTCTAATTAAAGCAAAAGCACCGGTACCTTGTTCCCTCATTTCTGGTGTTAAAACAAATACCCCTGGAGGAGCTGCGTTTCAGTGTCACCCACTGACGTAATGGTTCTTTTTTACAAACCTAGATAGAAACCCGCTAAGAGTAAGAGCATTCAGAACTGCTCAGATTGTATCCAAAAAACCAAAACCCTGAGATCAGGCTGCGGTGAGTGGAAGTCACCTGAGCAGAAACCATTTCCACTTCACCCCACAAGGCTTTGGGGACGAGGAATTCCACTGATGTCGCAGGTGTACCAGTGGGCTGGCCGGGCTCCTCAGTAACACTCTTCAAGGCACCTACGGCACCATTTAATAGCTCAGGTCACGTAACTCCTGAGTTAACCTGGCTGGTATCAGTGCCCCAAAGCAGGGGGAGGGCAGGTAAGGACCCGCGAGACCTCCGGGCTGGGTTTGTTCATTCATCGCACCTCCACAGCTGCCTTCGCTCTGTTGGTCTGCGCTGCCTGAGAGCCGCAGATCGCTCCCTCCGCCACAAAAGACAAACCCAGCAAAAACTCAGTAACGGCAACAAAGAAACAACAGGGCGACCCAGCACTGCCAAGCCCGCTCTTCCCAGAGCTCATAAAGCAGCAGCTCAAGGCAGCGGTCAGCTGCAGCTTTACAAAGTCACGCAAATCTTTTACCTTGAGACCACAAAGCCAATTCTCCTATCAAGCGTTTTCATAAATAACCCCGTAGGCTGCTGCTATCAAGCTTACAAACAAAGAGGAGTCTGAAAAGCACAAGGTCTCCCCGGAGAATCGGGCCAACAGCCCTCGTTAGGGTAGGAAGAATCAGAAAACAATGAAGCAACAAGTTGGGCAGACAGTGTCTATCAAGTGCTGCTTGCCAGGAGACACCTAGCCTTTAGAGAAGGCTGTCCTTTCAGGACACCGGGCCTTTTCCTGCAAAGTTTCATAAAACCCTATATTAAGATTCAGATGAGTTTGTGTCATTTAACCCATGACTCACAGCAGAGCCTTTCAGGCTCACAGGCATACGGAGGCTCCATGCGGTACCACAAGACCAACCTCTCACCAGGCAAAACACCCCAAAACATCTGACCCAGCTGAAAACCGTGCTAAATAAAAAAAAGAAAAAGGAAGGGGGGAGAGGATCAAAGTTCCTAACAAAGGAAGGGTCCTAGCAAAACTGCCCCCATTCTCTCCGCTGTGCCGGCGGGGCAAGCGGAGCAGATGCAGCCGGGAATTTCAATGGCTGGCCGGTCCCCATGCGCCACGAGGCCCTTCTGTTCTCCTGCAGCGCCCGTCCGCCCCTGCCCTGCCCGTCCCTCCCTGCCCTCGTGGGCCACACGGTGGGCTGCAGAGCGGCTTCGCCCAGGCGGCAGTGGCGGTTCGGGGAGAAGAATGGAGACCATGGGTTTCGGCTCGCTCCTAGCCCCAAAATGCTTTTGGGATTAGCGCTACAACAGACATCCATGACTTGCCTTTCCAAGAGGGGTCTATGCCAGCCCACAGACTCAGGACGGGACTAGCTGAACAGACACCGTGTTTACACAGGCTAGTAAAAAAAAAAAAAGAAAGAGAAAAAAAACAAAGCCCTGGGCCCTTCTCAAAAGACTTTGCCATAACCCTCCCCCAGAGCAAAACTCACTTTACATCACTCCTGAAAGCAGGAGGGCTGGGAGTCCTGAGGACCCAGCCTCGGCCAGGAAGGCTGGGGTAGGTTTAACCGGGAGCTCCCATGGGGAGGAAGGACCTGTGCACATCAAAGGGAGCGATCCAGGCAGTTAAACAGGAACAGACATAAATCTCGCTGCAACTCACGCCATAAACCCTAAGAAAGGGGGTCTCGCTCTCCCGCCCTCTCCCTTCTGCCAAGATAAAGGCTAGGACGCACGAGCCACGCGCTGGAGGAAACAAAGTTGTGCGTTTGGGCTCCTCGGCAGCCCGTGCCCGGAGCCAGAACCTCTCCCCTCGCCGTGCCACCCCCTCGCAGCCCCTGCCGCTCCCCCACCCCTACCCTCACCTTCACCCCAGGGCAGCAATAAGGAAAAGGAATTCAGGGGAAGGCAAGTCACTAAAACTAAAGAGAAGGGACCTCCCACTCAGACACCTCACCCCCACCCCCCCC